GGCTCCACGTGGGGACCCCTCGGGACCCCCAGCCCCACAGCCACACAAGGATCAGCTGTGATGACTCCTGTGGATGGCGTGAACCGTGACACTAGGGGACAGCACCTCTCCTCCCAAGTCCCTAACTGCAGTGTCGCTACCGGAAAATTAGCACAACCCCCCACCCCCCGCAACCGGGGCACCTAAAACTTCCTCAAAACCGTCCAGGCCTCAGGCACGAGGACCGTCTGAGAGGCTGTCACAGCCCCGAGGAGGCTAAGGTCACGTATGGTCCAAATGGGACGCTCTGACCTGCCTGGATGGGGTCCCAGGAGAGAAGGAGGACGTTGGGGGCACACCAAGGAAATCTGAACAAAATGTGGATTTGGTTAAAATTGGTTCATCATGCATTCATTTAGCTCAGCATTTATGGGATTGATAGCATCACAACGTGAGGTGTTAGTGGCGGGGTAACTGGGTGTGGGGACCACAAGAACTCTCTGTGCTGTTTTTGTAACTTTTATGTAAAATGAAAATTTTATTAAACAATTTTAGAAATAAATTTAGGGGCGCCTGGGTGGCTCGGTCAGTTAAGTGTCTGACTTTGGCTCAGGTCATAATCTCGTGGTCCGTGGTTCAAGCCCCGCGTCGGGCTCTGTGCTGATGGCTCAGATTCTGGAGCCTGCTTCCGACTCTGTGTCTCCCTCTCTCTCTGCCCTTCTCCTGCTCACTCTCTCTCTCTCGAAAATAAATAAAAACATTAGAAATTTTTTATTTTAAGAAGAAAGACATTTAAATTACAGATGTAAAACAGAGAGAACACCTCTTCCTTCTGTTAGAATAAAAATATTCCCATCCTTGCATCCTGTGACTTTTGGGGTCTCTCTGCCAGGAGCAGTCCTGAGTGCCGGTCCTAACGGTCCTGGTGAGATGGGGTCACGGTGAGGGCTGAGAGCCTGCCTTTCAAGGCAGGGTGCTTGCTGGAAGTATTAGCTTTCCTACCTCAGCCCCAAACCAGGCGGGCGATTCCCACATGGCAGAGTCGATAAAGTGAGTGGATAAAGGTTCCGCTGCTGACCCCACTCGGAGAGCTGGGATGGGCTGACCATTAGCCCCCTCCGAGGATGCACCGGGGGTCTCACCTCGGATCTCTGCCAGCCTGGCAGCCACTTTGAGCAAATTCCCGGGCGCTGGTGGGGACTCACAAGAAAAGCCCCCTGCGGGGAAGCCTCTGCTCCTGCCCCGGGGTCTCAGGGGGCGGCTGCCCCGCCCCTCCCCGGGGCCTGCAGCCCTGCCTTGGCATCAGACAAGGCTGCGCTCCGGGGGATGGCCTGGAGTGGTGTTGTGGGAGGTGGGTTGGTCCCGAGCCGGGGGAAGGACCACATTTGCTTCCTCAGAGTGGCCTGGATGGTCAGCAACTTGCAGGACGTGGTGCCCATGCCCTTGGGGTCCAGCCTCAGCCATGCACGTGGACACTGTGGGTGTCTGCAGACTGAGGACCAGAGGACCCTTCCCCAAGTGTCTAGGGTTTGTCGGACCCCCAGACCTTGGGGGAGGAAGGGAGAAGCCCCGGTGAGGAGACTCAGTGCCGCCCTCCGGCAGGTTGGGGCGCTGATGGCCTGTTGTCTCCGCTACAGCCCGAAGGCATACCTGCCACCCAGGCAGAGGGTCTCGCCCCAGGACGAGCCTCTAGGATAGAAGCTGGTGCCTTTGGAAGCAGAGACGGTGCGGTCGTGCCGGAAGGAGCGTCCGGGTCTGAGCTTGGGGTTTTAGGTCTTTGTTCACCTTGCGTGTGCGGGAAAGTTCTTCCGCCGCAGGATGTGAGTGGTCGGATCACAGCGAACTCACAACACGTCCTCGGGCGCCGCGTGATACACAGCCTGTGCTCATCTTTCCGAGCTTGGCGAGGCGTCGGGCCAGGACGGGGGCCGTCTGGACACCGAGGACACGAGCTCCCACGTGCCGCTCAGGGCCGGCCACCTGGCATCCGGGGTGGGGTCCGCGTGAGCGTCGGTGGGGTTTTCCGTGGTGCACCGAGCTGGGAGGCGACCCTGCACCCGGTGATGCGGTCTGGCAGCGGGCCTGCCCCGTGGCCTGTGGTCAGCCTGGGCTCCAGGAGGCCACGGACATTTGCCGCCCAGAGTCTGGGATTCCGAGCAGCCGTTCTGCAGATGGCGTCCGTATGCGCCCCACAGCTCGTCAAGTGCTGCGACTCCTGGGGTCTGGGATCCCAGAAAGACTGGCAAGGACACCGTTGAGTCCACAGGATGGGGTGAGCAGAGCCGTCCCACTCCTGCCGCAGAGAGGAGGCGTGCTGGGTTGAGCGGGGTCCCCGAAGAGGATGCTCAGGGACTTGCAGGTGTGACGAGCTCAGAGGGTGTCGTCCGGGATGAGGAGGCCCGGGTAGGACCGTCGTACTCAGAGAGGACACTGCAGACCCCACAGAGAAGCCATGAGATGACTGAGACAGAGACTGGGGCCACGTGGTCGAAAGCCAGGGGCTCCGGCACGACCAGACCTGGAAGAGACAGGAAGCGTCCTCCTCCAGATTCTCCGGGCAGCATGGCACTGAGACTCTCGATCTCGGACCACTGGCCTCCAGAGAGAGTGAATTTCCCCTGTTTGGAGCTGCCCGGTTCAGGGGGCTTGGTTAGGGCAGCCGGGGGCACTCACAGCCCAGGAAGCAGGCTGCAGGGAGGAGGTGGTCGAACGGGCACCCCCGCTTCAGGTTAGCTCCCCTCTTGCCCTTGGCTCCCTCGGGCCCCAGACGGGGGGGAAACCACAGCTCCGAGGCCGCGGCACAGTGACTGGAGCCGGGGGCCGGACGCGCAGGTCGGGCTTCAGGGCGGCCAGCTGTCCGGCGTGTCCACCCCAGGGGTTCCTGGGACATGGGGCTGGGAGCACTAAGGCCAGCCAAGTCCTGGGGACACTGGGCGGCTGGTCACCTTCCTGAGTGTCCGGGGACGGGCAGTCTGTGGGAACGAGGGCCAGCCCACATTGCTGGCCTACCTGGTGACGCTGTCTTTGGGTGAGACTCTGCTGAAAGGAGTGTCCCCGAGCCACAGGCCCCACCGAGGGCACCCGGAGGAGGGCCTGCCCGCCTGGTGGGGGCCGTTGGCACGAGCCGGGCCCAGGCCCTACTCTCTGCTCCTCTCACTGCAAAAAGGCGGACGGGTCTCAGGACCAGAGGCACCTGTGACGGGCAGTGGGGAGGGGTCTGGGCCGGGGCGGAGCTGAGTTGAGGGGTGGGGGAGGCAGGGTTTCCTCTGGGCAGGCCGTCAGGATGCTGGGGACAGGCAGGAGGCAGAGTGTCCCTCCCTGAGCCCCGGGCCCCGAGGCTCTCCTGCAGGCAGGATGAGGCTGGAGCAGCCACCCCGGGCACATTGCATCCCGGGCACCATCACCAGGGTCCCGGCCTCCACGCCGAGGATTCGCTAGAATTGGCCCCAAGTATTTAGTGCGTTAACGTGAAAGGACGGTTTACTGCCTCGTCATCGTGGTTGTGAAGAAATGTCTCTGCACGTGCCTCTCAGTCTGTCCCTCCAACTGTCACAGCCCTACCTGTTACTTTAGCACTGAGATCCCGTCTCCGAGGAGGGTGGGGGGCCAGGGGCACCGGGCGAAGCAGCTCTGTGCACAGGATGGGTGAGGGCGTCCTCCCTCTGGGCCCAGTTACTGCCCGTCTGTTTCCAAAAGGGATTTGGGGTTGTTTACAATAAAGAAAATACCAGTTAACGGGAGGGGGGGAAATGGCAGAGAACAAGCTTCTGGAAACTCAGAGAGGGGTAACTGGGCCTTTACCTCCGAGCTTCCTAGCAGACAAGGCACAAATGACCCCCAGACGTGCAAGGAGGGGGGGACTGGGGGCGTGTCTGCAGGAGGCTGTGTCCGCCCGCCCCAGGTGACTCCGGGTGACTCGTGCACCAGGTTGGCCCGCCTCCTCTCCTGCCTCTTGGCCCTGAAGCTCCAGTGTGGCTGGCCGGTGTCCCTCCCCAGGTCCCGAGAGGGGGCCTCCCTCACCGAGAAGTCACTCCTCTGGGCGCCCACTGCCCGGCCCCGCAGTCCTCCAGCCGTTGGCTGGTCAGTTCCTCACGGTTTCTCGTTTCCGTTGGAGAAGACAGAGACCAGAGGCCATGAGATTCGAGGCACTCCCCTGAATTGGAATTATCCAGTTTTACCTGCATTGGATAAATATCCACTCATTTACCGTTTTTGTCTTAAACAAAGGCGTGGAGAGCTGTTCCTGGATGTGCGTCTCTTCGGGGTCCCCTTCCATTCTGTGTGGTGGCCCAAGGCTGGCCCAGTGTGCTTCCCAGCAGGGTCAGGGTAAACCCAGGGCTAAGGCTCCCCGAGGAAGGGGTCCCTGAACAGATGGACCATCCCAGGCACACAGACCTTCCCCAGAGACACAGACCCTCCTGGGCACAGAGACCCTCCTGGGCACAGACCCTCCTGGGCAGACATGTGGGGCGGGCCCAAAGGGCCAGTCTTGAGTCGAGTTGGTCGATATTGTGACACTTTGCTCCTGGGGGTTGATTATGTGTTTAATCACACAAAGACGTTCAATTCACACCATAAATCATACACTGACATGCTACCTTCTGGCATCTTGTTTTGTTTACTTAAAGCAATTTCACAGACCCGACTTGGAGGTGAGGAATGTTGCAAGTCGCTGGGTGTTTGGGGCAAGATTCATAGATTATCTGTAGCTCCTATAGAGAAAACGTCACGTGCCCCAGCTACTGGTCCCATCATGCTCATTTCTCCGCTAATTGCCATGGGATGCAGGTTCCGTTACGAAATGAGGTGCCATCCATGACCTCAGCCACATTTATTAAAACATAATTGCTTTAAGGAAATTTTATGAAATAAGGCACAGTTCAAACAAAACATTGCCTTCATAAGGCTTGATTTTCCTGGCCAATTACAGAAATGACTACAGGATCTCTAGCTGTAAATTTGACGGGCTTCTGCTGGCAAATGCGTTGGAGGGAACATTCCAGGCAGGGCACCGGGCTCACTGCGGCTGCTTGAACCTGCCAGCTTCACCTTAGTGACTCCCCAGTGGTTGCACAACAGCACTTCAGGGGAAACCTGTGAAGAAGCGTCAGGAGGCGGGAGGAGGGTCAGCCTGCAAGGTAAGGAGGGCTGCACGGGTCCCCAGGGCCCCGCTCCCTGAGCCAGCCCGTCCCGGCCACCACCGGCGCTCGCCGGTCTGTAATGACCCCGCACAGGTGGAGAGCTGCTGCTTGCTCGCTCACGGCTGGAGCTTTTTAGGCAAATTAATGAGAAACAGACAGAACGACGGGATGCTAGTAAAGAGAGGCCCTCCACGCCAGGAGATATCCCTCTTTGCTTCGTGGCCTCAAGCAGGCACTCGGTCTCCCTGTCCGTAAAGGGGGGTCACAACAGACACCGTCCACGGTCGCCCCTCCCGGGTGTGGCCTCCGTGTGAGTGTGGGTCCGTCTCAGCTGGCCTCTCCCCGCTCTTCCTGGCTGCGGCAGAACTAGTCACATTTTGCCACGGGATTCCCTGTTTTAAAAAACCTGATCGAAGTGATTTGGAACATGAACGGCTCACCTTTTGCCTGCCCTCCTCTGGGGAGTCCCGCTCCCTGTCCTGCCGCTGACTCCCGGGGGGGACATGTGCCTGTGTCCCCAGGCCACTCCCGTGCAGCCGAGACCACGGACTGCCCCCACCTATCACCCCAGGTGACAGGCCAGCATAGGCTCTTGGGACAGAAAGTGAACAGAAGTGTGACTTGCACGCCCCGCAAGTGAGAAGCTACCCTGTGTCACCCGCTGGCGGCTCGGAGCCCCAACGAGGCTTTGTTTCTGGAGGTGAAGCCAGAGGCCCTGACTGTGGTCCTGCTGCTGGGACCCCCTTTGGGGCAGATGCCGTGGTTTGAGCATAGAGGATGCAGTTTGGTGAGCTCCCGGGGGGCGCAGGGGCGAGCACGTGTGCTTGGAGCACCTCCTCCTGCAGACACCTGCCAAGGCCCGTTCGGATCCCCCCGTGCCGTGCCAGTCGTGCCGGGCTTCCCCGGGAGCAGCGTGCTGGGCCTGTGCGGCCTCAGAGGTGACGTCACCGTTTGAGGGCAGGGCAGCCTGACCTGCCCCCAGCCCGCAGCCCTCAGGCCTCGTTTGGG